TTTAGTTGGATTTTCTTTTCTATTTATTAAATTTACCACCTTAGACTTATTCCTTTTTAGAAATACATTTGGAGCTATCCTCCCACCCTCGATTTCATAAGTGTTTAAAAACCCTTTAATAGCAGTTGCCTTCTTTTTAATTCCAGAATTTCTAGTATAGATTTCAGTTAAATCATTTCTACTAAGACTGGTAATTGCATCCGTAAGCAGTTGGTATTCATCATTCACGCGACTCATTATATATAATAGATATAAAACTTATTCACAATATGCGAACAGTTATTAAAATAGACGCTCTAGTATTAATTCGCATAGTAGTGGTAAATTTTGACCCAAAAGCGCGTTTTTTAACCAAAAATCGGGTAGCTAGCCGTGTGGGCGGGGCGTTAGAAAAGGATTAAAAGGGGTTTAAAAAAGGCGCCAGTTTCGGCCTTTTACCACTACTAACTTCAAACTATTGCATAACGTTTTGGAATAGTTAAATCCATCTGTTCGATTTCGAGTAATATGCAAAAATGAAATATTTGTAGGTAACGTTGATAGAGCTAAATATCATGCCAAACAAAACTTTGGTCAATGCTTAAATACTGGTCCAAACACGAAATAAATCGGTGCATAGCAAGATTTTCAAAAAGCGAATATTAAAATGAGATTTATGGTCGAAAAACAACTGTAGGAAGCCACCATAAATTGAATTAATACAAATGAAGCACTCAATGCCGTCTTGCTTCAGGTCCACATTTAGTACAAATTAGTACTACTTTGATTTTGTACAGTTGTTAAAAAAAGTTAACTTTAGATTAGCTTCTTTGAGCAACCCAGCTCAGTGGTAATTCTCTCTGCAACTCTTTTTCAAAATATTTGTTAACTTTTTATTAATGAATTTATTTACAGACATAAAAGATGCAAATTGTGGGCTTAAAATACATACTGTCAAGGATGGTGATAATGTAACCCTAAACTGTTCGGCAATTGGTATTCCAGCTGTGAACTATAAATGGGAAGTTACTGACAAAGTGTATCACAGACAAACAACCACATTTAAGGCTACTAAAATTCTCAATGGTACCACTGCAACATGCACTGCAAAAAATTCTTTTGGGGAAAAGACATGTTCCCAAATATTTGTAGTGTTTTGTAAGTATACATATTATACAGTACATGTTTATATTACAGCTCATTATTTTGGTAAATGCCCTAATTTTTAGTAAAACGTCACTCCACTATTAGATGGATATGTTATGTGCAAGTGCTTGTGAAACCAGGAAAAACCGAGGCAAAAGGATCTTATTGATCAAATTGAAATCAGAGAAAATTTAACTGAATAATCTCATCTGTACACCATATTGTAAGAGGTAGAAGCAATACTAGTAGCAGTAGTACATGTATGAGTATTAGAATTTCAGAGAATTATAGAAGTTGTAGTTCAGCGTAGTTACTTTCTAAAAATTCTACTTTTAATTCTTCAATTATTGAAGTCCTCTAACACAAGTCCTTCTATTACATCAAACGGGAATAAAGCTCATTCCGAACAAAATACATAATTTTCAACCAGAAAACTAAAATAACAATAAAATTCAAGTAATAATATGAGGTAAATTTATAATTTAAAAAAAAAATTATTATTAAATCTGCTGGAGAAGTGCGTGAGCACGAAACTCAGAGTTGCGGCGAATATGTGTGTCGTCTCCTGAATACTTTACTAAGTCTATACCGCTCTACACAAATGTGTATTGAGCACTATTCGTCGAGGTAAATTTATAATTATAATATAAATAGATTGTATTCTGTCGATTAAACACCTAAAATATGTTACAATAAAGTTATTTCTTTATAAATTTCTAAGTAGATATCTCAGTTGTGGTTTCATCAAATCAAAAACATCTTAACTTTAGCTCAAAGATTAGACGGTTTGATAGTTTTGGGGATGTACGAGATGCAGAAATTTCTCAAAACTAAGAACATCGTGACACAATCTAATAAAACTTTTAAAAACTGCTGCTACTCTCTGAAAGAATTTCAAGCAAACTAAATATTACTAGTACGTTACCCCAAAATTATCCAATGGACAATCCTATCAGATCTGTAACACGAAACTAAGAATAAAATTTAATCGCTTATAATAAGTCTAAAATCGCTTTACCCGGTAAAACACACACTCTGACTATCTCTTTTTAATCTGTACTGTAAAGCACTATTCTCTTGATGTGCATTGTCTACTTGATGTTGCTCTTTTTTCTTTCAATCATTTTGGTATCCAGTCATTCGTTTCCATTCACTCTCTTGTGCAAGAAGTGGTTGCTTTGTGTCGTAGTTAGTTCAAGTCACGCACGCAGGTAAATTAACCTTTTTAACACTAATACAGTATTATCATACAATGTCATGAATGTATGCACTTTAAAAGATTTTCGGAAATGTTATCTTGTTGAGGAAAACTATCCAGTCAGTCATCATCTGAAATATCAAGGTATCCAACTTAAATAACAGATTGCACCAGGACTGGTTGAATTTATATTTTTGCAAAATGATAAAGCAGAAAATTGAAAATTTGGATTATGTGTTTTTGTCCTTTTCTATTTATGCGTTTTTTATGTTTTTAATGATTTATATCTATTTGTTAACTCTTTCATATAATGTTTTGGGAAAAGTCTCTTAATGTTATCATTATTCATAAAAGAGCTCTAATTGTTATTATAGCTATCACACATTTGATCGTACTTTAAGCTTGAAGCAGTACTTTATTTCCTATTGTTTATTTCAGTCAAACCTGAGAACCTTACGGTTGTAAACGCGTCAAAAGGTACCTTAGATGTCGATGAAGGACAACTAATTGACATCATTTGCAATGCCGATGGATACCCAGATCCTTATTTTCTCTGGCAGAAGAGTGACCAAATGATACAGAGCTCAAATAATAAAAACAATACAATCACTATCAGTAATGCCACTTCGAATGATGCTGGGGTGTATACATGTACTGCAGTTAATTTGGTTGGAAATGGAAACATCAGTGTGACATTACGGGTTAAATGTAAGTTCATAGTTACTCTGCTTTCCCAATTTGAGCTATTCGTGTGTCTGTACTGCACTTTCGGGGCTGTTGCATGTAAAGCCATGATATATGTCCGATGTGAGTATGCTTTTGCACTCAGAAAAGTCATGACGATTTTTTTTTTCTAAACAAGTACACCCAAAAGTATTCACTAAATATTCTCTTTTTAACAGTCATTGGTAATGCAGTTTGTACTGCTCCTGATTTTGCCAAAGAGGGTGACATTATGGCTTTGAGATGTTCAGCAGATGGATATCCACCTGTAAGCTATACATGGACTACCCCAGGCAAAGTGTATCAACAATCAACCGCCAATCTTACAGCAATTCCCCATCTGAATGGTGTGATAGTAACGTGCAAAGCCACAAATGAATTTAAAATCAGCACATGCAGCAAAAAACTGACAGTGTACTGTAAGTATTGACATTTTACAGTGATCACCTGCGTAAATTTTATCCGAGTTCACACTAACTTGTACATCATAAGACATATGTACACAAAGCAAATCCTATTTTACTACCTCACTTAATTGGTTTAGCTCTTACCCCTCTAGGAAAAGAAGATCTATGATTTGAATATTAGGGCAGTCTAAACCATAACTAGTTCGTTAGTTCTAATTGTTAGTGGGTGAATGTTTTTTTTTGTATTCGCGTCATTAAGCCTAATAGATCTCGCCCAATTGAAAACACTCCAAAAATGTTTCTGTGTTGAGATGTAATTGGAAACACTTTTGAACCAATAAGGCTGTGATTTACGACAATCTTTTTCGCGTTCAGTAATCAATGTCAGTTGTAATGTGGAATCGTGTGAAATGTCGTCCAGGCACAAAATTAACGTTTCGTTTGCACCACTTATCAATAGCCGATTTGCGAATTTCGCCTCATTACTAAAACACAAAAGAATCAAGACGGGGCGTCGTGGGTAAAGCTCAGTCAATTATGAAAAACTATTGTTTTTTTCACGATTGACTGAGCTTCGTGCTCGGCGCCTCGTCTTGATTACTTTGACGTGTGACTACTGAGGCGAAATTCGCAAGTCGGCTAATAAGCCTTCGTTGATGGAAAAACAGGCGTAATCGGATAATTTGATTTATTGTGAAACTTACATTGTAACTTATTTTTCCACATTTAAATTGTAAGACAAACCACGAAATGTAACAGTGTCTCCGTCAAGCCTGGTACTGAATAAAACTCAATCATTGACTCTGACCTGTGATGCATCAGCTAATCCTGCTGGAAACTACTCGTGGTCGTTGAATGGCAAAATTCTGGAAGGTGAAATTAACCGTGTGTTGACTAAAGACAATATCACAGCACAAGATGCTGGTGAATATATCTGTACAGTTAACAACACCCTTGGTGCTGATACAAGTAAAGCCATTATTCATGTTCAACGTGAGTATGTGTTTGCAGTCTTTATAGAGTCGATTTCGTATGACTTGGAAACCGATTCTGACGCGTTTAAGCAACGATACACTGAGCTACGATATGCATTCATCGGATCCTATCTAGAGTCAAACACAAGTGAAAACGAAAAAAAGGCTGATTCCCCACAAAACATTGGAGGAATTTATAGATACCATCAGTCAAGGAAGTAGTAAAAATACATAAGTTCATTGAAAAATAGCGACCGAACAGGTCACGCGCGAGTACTCAAATACCGAAAGTTTGACAAACTAATTAAATACTTTCAAAAACAGAATTGCACAATATTTAAGCATATTCAAAGTGTTCAAATAAATCCAAGCCAAATGCCGATAAAAGAGAGGAATAGTGATATAGCAAACTTCAAATCCAAACATCTGCCAATCATTTTATAAAATTCTTCTTGCAGAAAACTGATCTCCATTGACATTTATCTTTATAAAAATCTTTTTTTATGAAATTTTGGCTATCGAAAATTCTGCAAAAACACTAGAGGCGATGAGACTTCACCAACTAGTGTTGTGTGACAAGATGACGTATCCCAGTTGTCTGTAGGAAGTCTCTCATCCAATCAGGAATCAAGCTTACGATACGGGTAAAGTACCGCGATACAAAACGAGCGCCGTATTGCCCAATGAGTGATAAAACTTACAATTCAGTAATTTGTTGTAGAAAAAAATTCCGTATTAATTATCCAGTCAAAAAGTGTTCTCACGATTTAGTGTACACGGTCGAATCAAAAATTAACATTTAAACTGCCAACAAATCAGAATTGATGAGTACGGTACCGTTACAATAGGGCTACGGTACGGACGCGATTTGTCATTTACTGTTTCCCAGTAATGCGAAATCAACTCTAACTCATGTCAGTGCTTTTCTGAACAAGTACAACAAAATTAATCATCAACTATATTTTCTGCAGACATTAGCAACGCAGCTTGTAGTGCTCCTGCGTCAGGCAACGAGGGCGACGCTATGATTTTGAATTGTTCAGCAGTTGGCTATCCACCTGTAAGCTATACATGGACTACACCAGGCAAAGTGTATCAAGAATCAACCGCAAATCTTACAGCGATTCCCGATCTGAATGGTGTGATAGTAACGTGCAAAGCCACAAATAAGTTTAAAATCAGCACATGCAACAAAACACTGACAGTGTACTGTAAGTATTGACATTCACTGCGTAAATTTAATCCAACTTCACACACTAGCAGACAAAAGGAAGATAACTGAGATTTGAATATTAGAGCAGTCCAAAACATAGCTATTCGTTAGCTCTGATTGTTAATATGGGTGAAAGTTTGTTTGTATTCGCGTCTTTCAGGATGAATCTCACCCAAAAATGTTACTGTTGAGATGTAAATGGGAATACTTTTAAACACTTGGAACCAATTAAGTGATCATTTACAAAATTAATAAAGCTATGAAGTACGACAATCTTTTTTGTGCTCAGAAATCAATGTCAGTTGTAATGTGGAATCGTGTGCGGAAATGTCGTCCAGGCACAAAATTAACGTTTCATTTGCACCACTTATTAATTGCCGCGTTTATTGAACGAATAATTTGATTTATTGTTAAACTTACATTTTAATTTTTTGTGCATCTCCATTTAAATTGCAAGACAAACCACATAATGTAGCAGTGTCTCCTTTACGACTGGTGTTGAATGAAACAGAAACATTGACTCTGACCTGTGATGCATCAGCTAATCCTGCTGGAAACTACTCGTGGTCGCTGAATGGCAAGATTCTGGAAGGGGAAAGTAACCGTGTGTTGACTAAAGACAATATCACAGCACAAGATGCTGGTGAATATATTTGTACGGTTGACAACACCTTTGGATCTGGTATAAGTAAAGCCACCGTTCATGTTCAATGTGAGTATGTGTTTGCAGTCAGTATAACTCAAAACAATACTTTTCAAAAAATTACATGCAAAATTAAACATCAACACTGTATTTTTTTACAGACATCAACGACGCAGCATGTACTGCTCCTTCTTCAGCCAACGAGGGCGACGCTATGGTTTTGAATTGTTCAGCAAATGGCTATCCACCTGTAAGCTATACATGGACAACACCAGATATAATACATCAAGGACCAACCGCGCATCTTAAAGCCACTCCCAATCTGAATGGTGTGACAGTAACATGCAAAGCTTCAAATGAATTTAAAATCAGCACATGCAGCAAAAAACTGACAGTTTACTGTGAGTATTGACATTAGAGACCTTGTAAGGTCTTTTAAAACATATACCATTTCGGTATACAGGTACATTTTAGTGAACATGTTTATTTCGCATTTATACGTTTTAAATGTTAGTAATAGTGTTATCACCCGTATACCCGGTAATCTACACGTTTCTCCGGTATAAGAGGTAGTTAACACGCATTTGCGGTTAATTACTCGTATACCAGTACACGGATACGGTGTATCTCAAGGCTTCTTCTACGATCATGTACGTAAAGGTAATCCTACTTGATATACTTGCTGAACTTGTGACATACTCCCTCGTTCAGCGCGTAAAAGCTATTTAGTTTTGGACGTCTTTTCACACTTGAATTTTCAAAATCGCTTTTTAAAAAAAGAGCTAGAACAATAAGACTCAGTTTGCTATTTAAAAAGAGCGCTTTGCTGGTAATAATTGTTGGTTTATGTTCGATGTGAGCACTTTTTCCCCCAACGATAAAATATACTCATACTTCGATATGTTTGCCATGTTGTTCATGCAGTTGTGATATTTTTAATAGTAAAATGGTGCAGTGTTTTAGTTTTTATAGAGAATTGTATAACTTTGTATATGATCTTCTAAATGTCAAATTCGTCCTGATTAACTTGCTTTCTTCCCTTCTTTTTTGGTTAGGTTTACTTGGTTTGCCCCACTTTGCCAATTTTTTCCAGCTTCTTTGGATACTTGGATTCGTTGAAAAATCTATTTAAACATCTGCACTATGAATAAGATTCTTTGGTGACATTTTTTGCAGAATGCATTGGTTTTCTTGTCAAAGAAGTTTCGTGTTTGTGTTCGGTTTTATTTTTTTATTTTTTTATTTTTGGACTTTTTACACTTATTTTTCCCAATTTTGTGATTAAATTTAAAAATATTTCGAGCTCTGTTTATTAAACTATTAGATTCGATATTTAGTGATTGCCTAATGTTCATTCAGTACCTGTATATTTACCTGAATCGTCTTTTAATTACTAGTGGTTCTAAAAATCATTTTGATAAGCAAGAACAATGGAAAATCGTATTTAAGGCTAATTAATAGGACAATTATATGGTGAATTAAAAAAAATGAAATAGATATTACACTAATACACCTTAAGGTAGCCCCATATGTTTTGTTTTTTGTTTTTGTTTTTGTTTTTTTACCGTGGGGAAATGGGCTCTAATTTTCTTAGTTTATATGATTGTAAATGTTAAATTTAGTCTGAAATGACTAGTTTCTTCGAAGTTTCTTGTCCATCATCATTCGGAGTCTCTACAGCCCACTGCATGCGCAGATGCTGATCTTGAAGAATTTTTTACTTTGATGACGTCATTGCATTTTTTGTGCGCATGATTTGGATTTCAAATTATAATTATAAAAAATAATTCCGCGGACAAATTTCCTGAATTTTTGATATATTTTGTCTCCTTATGACAAATTGTCATGCAAAAAATAGAGCCGCTGTTAATGAGAGATTTTTTTAATTGTAAAGCGAGGCAAATTCCGTTATATCGGAAATTCTGTCTTTGGGATTCGAAAGTTACATGATAGTTAAATTTTGAAAATTCTTTTAATTAGCAAGTTTATCAAAAAATTCCCAGCGAACAACGCACGCTTTGTTTTTTTTTTTTGTTTTTGTTTTTTTGCAAAAATACAATAATTTGATGAGAATGATGAGGCATAAGGGCACTGAAGGAGTTTAGATGGCAAATCGGATACCATTCACCTGGATTCAAGAAAAACTTTGTTTGTCTGTAGGAAAAGTACATTTTCTTGCTTCTTGTAAATTCAAAAAGAATATTTTTCAATTCCTAAGTTACTTCCGGTTTATGTCATAAACATGGTAAACAAATACGCGGAATTGTTTATACTAATTGATGCTTTGATATATGCACTTTAATAGTTTTGCACCAATAGAGCTTTGAGATGCAGCTCTGTTTTCCTATAAATGACAAACGATGCATATTCCATATGCCTTTTAACTAATGGAGATACCCTAAGTACGCTCTAATTTCATAATATTCTTTTGTGTCTATTGTTTCACGGTTGTAATGGCTTCACTCCTTAAAAACTAACCATAACTCATAAAAAAGAATGCTAAAAACATCAACACATCGAAACGTTGCTATCTGATTCATGAGTAACATTAAGTATTAAGTAAAATTATTTGATCAAATGCAATTTAGAGATAAATGACATTCTATAAATTTTTGATATTGATTAAATAGTGGAGTTACTAAGAATCCTATAAACGATGTGTTATTTATTTATTTTTGTTTGTTTGTTTGTTTGTCTTAGTAAATTATAGGCAAGTATATCATTTGCTTATCATCGTGGATACATCAGTTCTCAACCATTCAACATAGTAGCTTTAGCTTACCAGGTAGATATTAGATTACACATAGGGGATATTGCATGGACGTGGGGAAATACTAATTTTAACCTCGAGTGTTCAATCGATATCTCACGAGTGAGCGTAGCGAACTAGAGAGAACCTAGTATCTCATCGATGTGTAATAAATAGCTATATCTGTTACCACGATATATTTCAGTTTTCATTGTTTCTAATACTTTTGAGTCGTTGAGTGGACGCAATTAATTCGCGAAGCAAATGGTAATAATTGCTATTTAAAAATAGTGTAGATTAAAGAATAGGAAACAAAGGAATTATGTTAGTAAAACTAAAAGCGTTGAACACTTAGAATGACCATTAGTACCATTTTGTACTAAATATTTGGAGTCATTTTCATCCGTCTGTGAAATAGGAATTGTACTATTAAATACCATTACCCCCTATTAGCTCCCTTTAACTTGGTAGCCTACTACACCCTAATAGTTACTATAAAAACACTGATTAGTAGTAATTGTTTCACAGACGGATGATATAGTCAGACAGAAGTTTGTATTACCATCATTGTTAAGCTTCCTAGTCGATCTTTGTTTTTCTTTGCTTTACTAGTCTTACGACCAATCAATTATATTCCCATATTTACATTTTGCGAGCACTATACACATCAATCCTCCCACTAACACTTAACACTTATTAACACTTAACACTTACCGCTGATGTTTACCGAAGCGAAGCTGAGGGAAACATCAGCGGTCGAGGGACCGCAAAACATACTGTTTCACGAGGTTTCCAGTAAACAAGTGCTTTATTATCATATCAAGTGTCAAGAGAACAAAACAAGTAAATAATTGAAGTGTTTTTATTAAAGATTTTTAAAAAATGGCAAATGATATAATACAAATAGTCAAATGTCACTAAATCAATCAATTTAATAGCAAAATGAATACTCTAAATGTAACTTAGCTATTTGTAGTCGAAATTAAATGTTTCATAACAATTTTGGAATGCAACATCTGTAGAGCAGTAAATGTGGCATTTTCACGACACTGAATAGTGTTTTTCTACGACTTTGTACTTATTGACGGTCCACAACATATTATTGACCGCTGGTGGGCAGTTGCCGGGAAACAGTAAAATTTTGTGACTCTCACGTGGAACACTCTCGACCAATAAGATACTAGGAAAAGTGAACTTTGACACTTGATATATAATAATATGATTTGTTCTTTTCTAGATTTGGAAGGATGCAAAAATATTACCCTGGGCAATAAACAGTGTCCTACCGTATCACGTAAAGGTTATCCTGAACCGGAATTAAACTGCTCATTAAACGGGAATTTCAGTGTAAGTCAGCCGGAAAAGGATTACAGGTTATGTAAACCGGAAAGCAATGGCAGCTGTACAATTTCTAATGAAGCTGGAAAATGCCACTTTGGATACGAAGTACAGAATCAAAGTAAGTACAACAACGTTGATATTCTATTATTGCAGTTTCTAGCCCCATGATTGGTCATGATAGTTTCACAGACAAGTTTTATTTCTCAAAAACTTTAGTACATTGTGTGAATTACCTCCGCACCAAATATTTGACACTGCTGAGGGTGATTGATCCTCTATATAATAGTACAGTAGAACTTGACTGATTGAAAAATACTAAAACGTTTATCAATCCTTTCCTTTTAGCCAAAGAACCATTCGATTTTAGAGGTACATTTCGCTGCACCAACCGTGCTTATCGAGAGGAATATGGGAACGAAAATTCTCAGGGTTTCAAGAAACTGAAAGACGAATTGGAGCAACTAGTAAGTACAATCACAATAATACAGATATTATTAAGCTTATTTCTTAAGCTTTACGTCACCTACTTATAATTTGCAATGCATTGTGGAATCAGTTTCTGGAGAAAACAAGAAATCCGTCATGTTTTTCCCAAACATATCCTACAATTCATCGCGCATTTGTTCATTCAATGTCATGTCGTGTTCAGTGTCGTTCAGTGTCGAAAAAAATACAACAATTTGTTTGAAAATGTGTTTAATATAGCACAATTTATGTCACAAAACCGTTTTTATTCCACAAAACACGGTAATTTAGCCAAAAGTTTGTAAAAATAGTTGAAAAGTACGTCAAAATTAAGACAATTGAAAACTCTCACTCTCGATGATATAACTTCGTTTTTTCCCTTGTTGGATCTTGACTGTGGCTTTAAAAATTTTGAACGGACAGTTGGATATTTTGCTGATGTTGGCTCCACCGAAAATGCTACTTAAAGCACATGTGTGAACGGCGAGGGAAGTGGTTGATTCAACTGGTTACCACACCTTGAGGATGGCAAGCATAATGACAGCTTAGAAAGTATTCACCTTAATATAAAGATAGCTCAAAAAGGATTGTATTGGAAGAAAAAAACGATGTCAAGATGTAAAGGCTCAAAAGAAGCCAGAACATACCTCTACAGACTACTCAAAACAAAAGTGAAAACCGGTGTCTTGGCAAGAAAAGCTGAGAATGAAATCCTTTAAATTTACAGAATTGTGGGCACTTACATCTTATTACATCAAATTTACAACCGTTAAAGCGCGCGATTTTTTCCGGTGTATATCAATCTACAAATATATCTTCCAATAAATTACTTCTACTTATCACGTTGTTACACTCTTTTTCACTTTCACTAAATCTAATTGTGTTTGGAAGTCTAGTTTGCTACTTTGTTAATTGTATAGTAAAATTACGTTGTTTGCCAGGCCGGGCATGCATGGAAACGTGAGCCCTCTACGTTTTCTGGTCGTTCTTCGTACTCAACGTTTCAACACATGCCTTGCCTTGGCAGTCTTAATGTACTTAAGTTTGTTTTAATTCACTAAGGTTCAAGGTTCTACAGATTATGCCAGCCTAGTGCTGCGTAACTAAAAATGCGTAACTACAGATGATAGTGTAGGTGGTGTAATGTCATGTTTGGAACCTTTAACTTGTCATTTCACAACAAATGAAATTGGTCTTTTCATGATCTCCTTTGAAAAGTTCACGTCCTTCCTCCACAACCACAATGGCGGAGTTCTCTCGCCAAAACAACTCGTAGAGCACGCATGCGTAGTAAAAATGCCTTTGTGCTTTATGCATCACAAAAGCACTATCACACTGGTTTTTTGCCCTCCAGGACAAAAATATATCATCATTTCTTTAAAAATATATGAAGAATGCATGAACTATAAAGCCAATGGACTATCCCAAGTCGGTCACATTCCTGACTTTTAGTATACCGCAAGTACTGCTTTATTTTCTACAGCAGAAGCCTAACATATATATAGTCTTAGCTTTGTGGTATTACAGATACGTTACGTAGCGTTTTTCTATTGTTTCTCACTCCCTTGGCGTGAAGACGGAGAACATTAGATATACACTATGAAAGCTTGTTAGGGTGGACAAGGCCAACCTGATTTTTTTATCTCCTTTGTAGCTCAAGTTGGTCTATGAAAGTTTCAAAATTGTCACCGGAATATTTGTAACTGCATTTCAGTAAGTACATTTTAATATGGCTATCGCACTGAAATTGGGTACATTTGCGAATGCAATCATGTTACAATGGCCACTCGGTACATGACGAGAACTAATACAGATTTAAACCATGATCACCGAAATATCGCCCTGATTTTAACCATTGGCCGTATGACTTAGCTTTCTCTGGGTAGATGGGACCCATTAATATCACTGTATGAGGTATTCCAAATGTAAAAAATATATTAATTTGTCGATAAGCAATTGCAAACCATGTAAAAGTTCTATAAATGTGAAAGCAGGTACTGCTAAAGCTTAGTTATGATTTCATCTGTGTATTCGTAACTTCTTGTTCCTAGTGAGGGAAGTGTGATTGTAGATTTCAACCTCACGTTGGTTGCGAACGTGAATGATCCTTTGTCACCATTAAAAGATGCCGTGGAAAAAGGTGGAGGCAATTTGAGTGGGTTTGCAATAGATCCTAAGAGTATTAAAGCAGGTTTGTGAATTAAAACAGCATTATTATTCCCTGCAGAAGATATCCGTATCTCAAGGGAAATAAAGTTGAATGTATTTTTGTAATAAATGTATAAACGGTTGACTCAGACTTAAATATATGCAAATACTAAAAGTGGAAGTTATGATTTTGACTGAAATCTGACTTGTTGGAGATATTTCGTGCAAGATGGTGCTGGTGATGGTGCCGCAAATATCCGTTTTTCGATCTAAGATTTCATGTCCTTTACTCACAGGCTTCTCAAGATCAGAAATTCATAAGATCGTTTTTGAGATCGAGGTCAATACTCACCTTGAAGGCTTTCATATTGCAAATAGGCGATTTGCAAGATGACCTCATAGATACAATAACTGCCAGAATGCAGAATCTTTGTAAAGTAATTAGTCCCACCAAACTCCAAAGAGATTCAAAATTTGTATTACAAAGAAAATGCGCAAGGCTCTCTGGTAGTTGTAGCTAAGTTACTACAACAGGAGGGGGACAACAGGAGGCAACTCTACCAAACTACTGCATTCTTGAGTAAATTAAATTTAAATTTGTCAGCTTTAGAAGTAATTTTTTTTATTCTCTTACTGTAATTAAAAAAATTGAAAAATTTTGCAAAATTAAATACTTTTGAAAGGAACTATCTAAACCAGTTGAAATTGAAGGGATTTCTTATCTTTATTTATTTGATCAATATTCATGTACAATTTAAAAAAACGTTCAATTTGTATCGTAAACCTGCCGAATTATCCAAATTTGATGTATGACTATCAGTAAACAAACCTTAGTACTGGTTAGTGCAATGAGTTTTAATATAATCTTTCAACGAAAAACGTTTACAAAGTTTTTTTTATATTTTTTAGTCAATTTTGAAAAAATTAAAGTGTCGCCTTATCCTTACTTAGTATCGTCGCGACTCTATCGTCGCAGAATATTCGATTAAATGAGATGTATGGTGCATCTTGATGCATGAACAATGTCGACTATTTTCAAGCACTAATCAAGCATGTATAAGATGTTTTGAGCTGCCTTGAGTTATAGCGGTTTTTGATTGGCTAGTTTTACATGGTAATCTTTCGTACTCCTGTTTAGGTACAACACCTACACCAACAACACCAATACCAACAACGACAAAGAAACCCATCACTACTCCATCTCGTATCAGTGAAGAAGCTATTATCGCAATCGCCGTTGTGGTCCCTATTGTTGTCATCTTAATCATTGTGCTAGTATGGTACTTCTGCTGCAAGAAGAAGGAAAAAAGAGGGGAGGAAAGTGAGTGATTTCTTTCACAAAGCATTTACATATAAACGGTGTATAGGCGTTTCTGAATTTGAATAAGTGAGCGTAAAAGCCTAAATGATGCAAGAATTGTAACACAACACTTTTAAATTTCAAAGACATCTTTCGACTTTTAAAATGTATTTTATAAATATTTTATATAATTAATATTTTATAAATTATATAAAATATATTTTATGGTAAAATGTTTCTTTGTTAACGTGTCCATATTTATCACTTTCTTATTCATCTGATATGCAATTCTTTGATTATAATTGTAGTTCAGTTTTCCTTCAAAATTGTGCTCTTTTGTATTTAGATATTTCTCTCGAAGAAGGAAGCCCCTACCGGTAAGTACAATAATAGCGTTATAAAATACATTAAACAATCAAAGTATATCATTGTACGTTATCACGACTTCGAGATATTCTTCATCAGTTACCTTTTTGCTAGCCAATTCTCCTTTGCATTCGGCTCAAATGAATTCATTTGGTGATTCCTAATAATGTATGATCAGCCAATATATTATTGCACAAAAGTTAAATTGTATGCATATTCCTTTTCTGCACAGCCCAGTGAATGGTGAAGAGAATCGAGGATTATCCGAATCTCAGACATCCTATGCCCGGTCTGGCCCAAAGTCTGATCACAATGGCCAAACAACCAACAATAACCCAGACACAAGCGATGCAACGGCTACATATGCAGCAGTGGACATGTCTAAGGTATACACTACAAAGCTACTGATAATTCTTTACATGAGTAGCATTTTCTATGCATAACTTAATGTCGGTCATGTTTATTTGGCGAGTATATCATAATATTGATAAAAATATCAAGATGACTACGGAGGATGAATTGGACGAGTATCCATTATTCAAAGAAGAACGCATAAATTATGCACTAGTCAATTGAAACCCCGGACCCCCGACCCCCGGGGCTAGCGGGGCACTGAACGAGGACGTGACGTGTTTTTAACCTGCTCTTAACAGCAACATTGCCCCGGGGGATCGGGATTTTGATGAATTGTTTTCGAAGCGTGGCAAAGAGCGGGGATTTTAACGCTCTTTTAAAAATGTATGAGTCTGGAAACTAGACGTCGGTCATCTTGAGAAATACCCTGAATGCATTGGTTTTCATCCCCGCTTTTTTATTTGTTTGTTTTTCCTTGCATAAAATGTTTTTAAACGAAACTTATTACACATGTTTTTCTCTGTCCAGTAAACCTCATGTAGTACGCAAATGGGTACACAGGATTATACAAGAATTAACCCTGTGTATCACAGAAAATTTGGTTGAAAGGTGTTTGTTTTGTTATTTACTACTAGACCAAAATAGCGGGGCAACAGTAGCGGGGATTTTAACAATGAATGTGTCCCGACTACCGGGGGAAATGTCCTATTTTAACACCGCTCAAACGTTAAATTCCCCGGTATTCCCCGGGGGTCGGGGGTTTCAATTGACTAGTGCATTAGCCGATTGTGACTGTAGAGTGCGAAAACTAAAAACATGAAATAGTTTATGAACTAAATATTGCTACGTTTGTGTTTTGTTCTTTTCCCCTCCATCAATACAGAAGAAAAAGAAGAAGCAAGAGGGAGAAGTACTTTATGCAGATTTAGGTTCAATGCGACCTGGCAATAACAAGGGAACTGAACTGCAGCCGATGTCTTCAAGTGGAAACATTCCTGACAAGAGAGAAAGTGATTATGCTTCCATCGATTTTTTCAAAACACAAAAGCAAGGTAAGTTGAATAAATCAATGATGAATCTACAAGGCGTAGATTATAAAACGGAGGTGTATTTATTCCCTTGTATTTTCACAATCAAACGAAGAAAAAATGAAACAACTGTCAAAACATGTAGAGAATGAGATTTG